CCCCCCTCCTCTCTCCTCTTCTCCCAGGCTCCACACACACACCCACAATCTGGAATCTTCTCCCAGGCTCCACACACACACCCACCCACATGCTCCAAGGAAATCGATACTTTTCCTACAACTCCAATATTTGCTGCTTTGCTGTCGATGGCCACTGTTACCAAAGCCTATAAACAGCAAAAATGAGTCCTAAGTGAAACTGAAATAATCAGATAATGATTTTATACTGTGGCCGTCAGCAACCTGAGTGTTACAATGGTACTTTTGAGCCGAGGCAAGGGCCCAAAATGCCAATAATGCAGTATTTTAGAGCACCCAGGTATCTGCACTTGGGGAAGCCTCAGCTTCATGGGCTGTGTCCTTCCCTCCCAGTGGCTGGCTGGAGAAGCGGCCTGAGGCCTTGGGCTTCCTAAGTGGTGCAGTCCAGGTTATTAACATAAAACCTATGCAGAGCCCCCTGCTTCATCCTGTATCTTATCACTGGAGGGACGCCGTAAGGCTAGAGGGTACAAACCTAGGCACTTGGAACTTGTGAGGGTGAGAACATTCTATTTTGTGAATTGCAGGCCTTAGACTTTCACCCATGAGCACAACCCAACAGAACCTGTTTAGGAAGACACACTCTTTCTAGTGCATAAAACAAGCTACTCGTTTAAAACTTCGAGGATGAATGATGGTGCTGTAGGACTTCCAGAATTTCATGTGATGAAAGACTAAGCTGCACAGTCTCTTAGGGATTTCAAGATGGCCAAGAGTTGGTGGATCTCAGAAAAAGCACATGCATGGTTTTATGCTGAAAGATGATGCGTGGCAGTGGATGGCTCCAAAAGGCCACTTTGGTAGAGCATGAGTGAAGACTGAATCCCACACAGACCTTTCAGCAGAATCACATCCAAATGCTGCAGCCCCAACTCCCACCTGCCACTTGCCTCAGCCATTCATTCACGGCCAAGAGGGCTTCAAAGAGGGGTCAAACAGCACTCTATTGTCATCCTCATATATTAAGTAGCATATTTCTAATTCTAAAATGCTATTAACCTTGTATACACCATGTCATTGTGTTTAGAGTATTCACAATTCAAATCATCACACACACAGAAAGGACACTGCTCTTTATTCTGGCTGCCAGGAGGTTGCAGGCCCTTTTCTGGAGTGTACAGAGCACCTGGGGAGGCGGGACCTGCACCTCCAGTATGTCAGAATGCCTGCACGAAGCAGCCTGGTTCTAACAGAGAGAGGGGCAAAGGCTTGAGGCAATGTTTTCTTTTCATATACACTGATCTCTAGGAAAGACAGTTTTCACACTGGTAAATACATTTTAAATGTCTCAAGAACTTTGTCTCATCCCCCAACAGAACGACGAGTCCTTAAACAGAGGGGACACAACCCTTATCTTACATTCTTCATGATGTCTACATCCAGAAGCAGCACATACCTCTGAGCATTTACTGTTGAGATTAAAAGGCAGCTGGGCACCTAAATTCCAGACTAGATCTACAGCCTTGGGGCCATTCCACAAGCATAATTATAGGTAGAGCCTGAGGACTTCTGGAATCCATCAGAGGACAGAACTCAATCTCCAGGGGCAGAGTAAACAAAAGCCAGAGTTCATCCTGGCCCGGCCAGAGCCTCCCAATAGGACCCCACCTCAGGCCTACTGGTTTGAGCCTGACGGGCTGAGCCTGCAACAGGATGGGAGCCTGGCAACCCTTGTGCAGTCCCCACACCCTCTGGGTCCCCAAGGCCTCTCCATGAGAGTACTCACAGAAGTGACCAGGTCAGCACAGAGGGAGCGACGCTGGGATTCAAGCTCTTGACTCTGACTACCAATGTTTCACACAACTGGTTAGTAAGGAACCATCAGCTTTTTAATCCAGTCACCTGCAAATTAATAAGTAATATACCAACATGGCATTTAGCTGTACAAGATGATAATCTTAAAGAAAGTTTTTACATGTGGAACATTTTTATTCCTAATTTATACTTTGCAAGATATTTGACAATGTACAAAGAATACCCAGTTCTAGTGATGACTGTTTTGTATTATGATTTATTTACAAAATTTCACCACATAATAACTACCTTTTAAAAAAATCAGCATTGGTCCAATACGGGCCATGAGGGTAACTTCTTCAGCCTGTAAAAAAAGATGCCTTAGTACCAGTGCTCCTGGGTTTGTTACTGCGAACTAAAATCTGACTGCAAAGCCCATATGTAGTTTCTGGATATAATGAGATAACAGTCATTTCGAAGCACAACAATCAAATTAGATTGGCAGGCGACAGTGGAGGACCAAAGCAGTCTCTCAACCTCTATAAGAGGTGTACGTGAGCCTTCCAGTTACATCCTGCTAGCTGTACCGCCCTGTACAAAGGAGTCTCCAGGTCATTCCGTGATGCCAAATGTTGTTCCTCTGGAAAAACAGTGAGACTGGTCAGGAGGTGAGTAAGACATGGCTGTTGGTAGTGAAATAGTTTCATTTCTTTAAACTTTTTCCTTTTCCTTTTTTGGACTCCTTATCTTTTTCTGCTTTTGAGGGCTTTGAAGATTTTGTTTTTCTCTGTTGGGAGAAAAAGATCCACAAAATAGTTAAGTAGCCATGTTTATAAGTACATGAAATAAGCTCATCTCTACAATATACATAACCTTTACCTGCAGCTTAATTTAAAAAAAGGAGCAGTACAAACATATGGATCGTGGACTACTGCTACCTCTGATGAACAGACTTAAGCAACATTCAGCTCGTCAGAGCTAACAAGATATCTATAAAAACTGCAAACAATCTAGAACCCAGGTTTATTGTCCATGTAAGGCAATTTCTTGGATTTGGAATCCAGGTATTTTTAGGAGAGATAAAAAAAGATGATTTACCAATATGGTAATGTTTACATGAAGAACTTCCTTTTCTTTCAGTTTCAGGCTGGAGATCTAAATACAGCCATTTTGTGAAGGGGAAAGAGGAGAGAGGGAGACAAGCTCTCAGGTGGAGCAGAGAGTGCCACACCAGAGAAGCAGAGGCCAGCTTCTTGCTCCGCCCTGGCTGGCATCTGCCTACCACATAGGAATGCACCACCCAAAGCAAAGGGGAGGGAAAGACAAGACCTCGCCTGCCTTGGCCACTGTACACAATGGGCTCACAGGAGGAGTTTCATCTTCCCGGAGAAGACAAGGAAGGGGCAAGTTTAGCTCTGAGCAACTTCAGCAGGCAATTCAATGGCTACAGCAAACACAAGAGAAGGGAAAAGCGGATTTGTTTAAAAAAAATTGTTTATGCTATGGATAAGGAAGGATATGCCAACAGCCAAATAAATAAAAATGATTTTTTTCCTTTCAGATTATATGACATCAATATGATGGCCTATTTTCTTGCTATTTAGCTCTTCTACTAACGTAAGAAGCTATTTCGGGTAGGGGAAAGGAAAAAAGAGAAAAGAAAAAATATGAGAAAAGGAAAAAAATGGAAACGAAGTCTTTGCAAATAGGGAAGGGTGGAGGGGGTAAAGCGAGGGCAGGGGAAGGGGAAAAAAAAAGAACCAAGATACTCATGTAATGGTACAAGATCTCAATGGTGAATGTAACTGTATTTTATAGCAAAAATGTACCAATAAAAAAAAAAAAAAAAAAATCAAGACTAATAAACAGTTTTCTACATTAAATGGAAAAGAAAACATTTAGTGATCTAAACCATGCACATTTTTGTTTTGGTTTTTTTGAGACAGGGTCGCACTATGTAGTTCAGGCTGGCCTTGAACCATACACATTTTTAAAAATCCACCAAAATGAGTTCCTTTGAGCAGGAAAGTGATGAACGAACCAGGTTTTCCTGCTGCTTTAGATTTTGCTCTGCCTCAACAGTGTGTAACCTCCAGCAAGAAAGTGCAGAGAACCAAGGCCACCTGACTGGCACTGAGGTAACGCCTCGGCTCAGCAATGGGAAGTCGGGCCAGGCCCAGACCTTCAGAAAAACAGAGCCCAAGTCCTCAGTGCTGCAGCCCGCACGCACAGCACAGACCTTGAGGCCTGTTCCGCCATGCCCAGCAGAATCATGGGAAGTAGGGAGGGGCCTGACCTGCAACAGCAGCGTTGCGACCTCGTGATGGCCCCCAGAGCAGGCGTATATGAGGGGTGTGTTCCCACTTACGTCCTTTTTATTGGGTTTTGTGTTAGAATCCAGTAGGTACTTCACCACCTAGGCCAGAGAAGAGAAAATTTCAACCTTAATCAAAATTTACAAGAAATCCTCTAACTTGAAATTCTGACTTCTCTAAGCTTATTGAGGCTTTTCAGACATGGCTGACCCTCAGGAGAAAGGACAGCCACAGAACCGGGAGGGACATTTGCTCTGAGGGACTCTGTGCCAGGCAGCATGCTAGGCACCAGTGTTTCCACTTCATCTTTAGCTCTTTTCCCTGTGGAGAGCTGGGGTTATGACTCCACTCTGACAGGTTAGGGAGCTGGTGCTGGAAGCACTCTGCAAGGAATTCAGGGGAGAGATGGACCATGTCTTTAAAAAGCTTACAGTGGGGCTGGGGATTTAGCTCAGTGGTTTCGCCGCCTGCTACGGAAGCACAAGGACCCGAGTTTGATCCTCGGTACCAAAAAAAAAAAAAAAGTGCTTACAGTGGAGGGCTGGGGATTTAGCTCAGTGGTTTCGCCGCCTGCTACGGAAGCACAAGGACCCGAGTTTGATCCTCGGTACCAAAAAAAAAAAAAAAGTGCTTACAGTGGAGGGCTGGGGATTTAGCTCAGTGGCACCAAGTCTGCCTCAAAATGCAAGGTGGTGAGTTCGATGCCCAGTATCAAAAAAAAAAAGTTTACAGTGGAACTGAGAAAGGAAAATGAAAAAATATACGCATAGATAATTTTCCCCCAAATACAGGATGAATCCTTCCCAAATTCTTTCTTGAACCCCTCCAAGGAGGCCATGCTTTTATGAAGGACTGAACTGTTTAGCTCAGGTAAGGTAACCCAACACCTGAGCACAGGAGACAGGTCAGAGTGACACCGCTGTGTCCCCCAGATGTAAATGGCAATGGAGCAGGGCTGGCTGTGCCCGAGGGAGGACCAGAGTCCTATGCTCTGCTGCAGAGTGATCCCGCCACAGGCATCTCAACTTGGGCAGAAGGAAGGAATCATGCTACTGACCCTGAACCCTGGGCCTCTGCACAATTCCACCCAGTGAGTTCAGCCAAAAGCAAGCTCCTGCTATGCCACCTAAGAAACAGAGCCCATACCTGAAAGTGGCCCTTCTGGCAGGCCAGGTGGAGGGGCACAGCTTGGTTTGTGTTCCTGGCACTCGGGTTGGCACCGTGCTTCAACAGGAGGGGGACAAGGTCTGCTCGACCGTGCAGGGCAGCGATGTGCAGCGGGGAGGAGCCGTCCTGGTTGGTCACATTCACCCCCAGCCCACTGGCAGGAATCTTTGCCAGCTTCTGGTACATGTGAAAGATGAAACAGAAATGTCACCAATGTTCAAGAAATCAGGATGAAGAAACAGAAGCCATCTGCCCTCCGTCCCTGCTTGTATGCCAAATCTGGGATGACAGTGGGATCCGGAATCACATGGCCCTAGGTGAATCCCTGTTACTTAAGAAAGGTGTGCTATACCAAAAGATTAGCTTCTATTTTTAGTAAAGCAAGCCTGCTAAAAGGATGCCCTGTTACAACAGGCATCAACAAGGAAAGTCTGTGGTGGGAATGGGGCAACGAGCTAGCCACACAGGGAAATGTGGCACATCAGCCCTTTCTCATTCCAAACATACAAATCAAAAGCCATCACAGACAGACAAGTAAAAGCTACAATTGGAAAGCTTGCTTATTTACTTATTCAGACACAGAATATCACTATGTAGTTTAAGCTGGTCTTGAACTCATTATATAGCTTAGGATGGCCTCAAACTCATGGTGATCCTCCTGCCTCAGCCTCCCAAGTGCTGAGATAACAGGCATGTGCCACCATGCCAAGCTATACAACTATAAACTTCTTAATCAGGCATGGTGGCACACATCTGTAATCCCAGCACTTGGGAGGCTGAAGCAGGAGGATCGCAAATTTGAGGCCAGCCTGAGCTACATAGCAAGTTCAAGTCCAATCTATACTACATATTGAGATGTTATGTCAAAAAAAAAACGAAAGAAAAGGAAGGAAGGAAGGAAGGAAGATCTTTATGGTACTGGGGTAAAGATTCCTTAGAGAAGATATAAAAACTAAAAGTTTGATGAACTGGACTTATAAAAACTTTAAATGTTTGCTCTCTGAAAGACATGATAAGAAGATGAAAGAGAAAGTTGCAGAATGGGAAAAAGTGTTTGCAAGAAAAATGTTTTTTAAAAATTTATATCTAAAATTTCATACAGCTCAAAAAGATCATCTATCTTAAAAAATAAATAGCACAAGATCTGAAGAGACCCTTCCACACAAATGACAAGTGAATGGTCACTGAGAACCTAGGTTATCAAGAAAAGGCAAATCAGAGTCAAAAACAACCGCACCGAAGGGTGAGGGAATAGAGCAGCGGCAGGTGGGCGGGAAAGTAATCTGTGTGACCAGGAGAGGATGCAGGGCTTACAAGGCTGTGCGCACCTTTGTCTGACCTCATGAGACTGCTCCTTACTTATCTCCATTCTTCTTCATTTTTATCATGAAACGACCTTGTCATTCACAGTGGTTTCTCAATCAGCCATGCTGGGAAGGATGATAAGCAGTGAAAACCAACCGCTTTACAGGCCTATCACTAATTAACACATTAAATTGTATGCTCGATTAAAGGCTGAATTTTACTATGAGTAAATCGCACCTCAAAAATCAAATGAAGAAAATCTGAACACACAGAATGAAATACCCCCTCATATTTTTTAAAAGGACACAAGTAGAAGTGCACCTCCCATTTCCACCTGTTCCTGGCCATCGAGAGCCTCCAGCCATGCAGACGACACACCTGTACAGTCAGCACCTGCACCTGCACCAGAATGGCTCCCACTGAAAAGTGCTGAACCAGATGTGGAGCAACTAGAACTCTCACAATCCACTGGTGCAAATGTAAAAAGCTACAATTCCTTTGGAAAATTAGTGGTTTCTTTTAGGGATACTCAAAGCCTATGCAAATATTTCAAAACCTAAAAAACGGAGACACTTCTGGTTCCAAGCACTTCAGGTAAGTGATACTCAACTTGCACTTTTTGATTCTACTTCTACATAAAATCCTAGAAAATGCAAACTAATGTACACAGACGTGTGCCTGGGGCGCAGGAATACGGAGGAAGGACTGACTGCAAAGCAGCAGGTGGAAACCTAAGGAGAGACACAGAACTCCACCCAGACTGTGTGTCAGTCTGCACATCCCTAACAGCTCAATGCCTGTAAACTACACGCATATACTTTATTGCATGTAAGTCACACCTCAAGAAAGAGGTTTTGGTTTCTTTTTGGTTTCCTGAGACAGGGTCTCATTATGTTACCCAGGCTGGCTTTGAACTCAATCCTCCTGCCTCAGCCTCCCAAGTGCTGGGATTAGAGCTGTGAACCACCACACTACTTTCAATAAAGAACTTTTAAAAAAAATAAATTCTAAACACACTTCTGGGCTAGAAGAGGATGATGGTTGGGGTGGGGATTTTAACAATTTCAGACATGAGGCAATTTAGTGTTGCGTATTTGAGAAATTACAAAACAGAAAAGGATGAGAGGTTTTAAAAGACCAGGGAGTGTAAGACTTATCCAATCTACCAATATTTTTATGTAGAATTCCATTTCTTGCTACAACTTGTGAACTGTGAGGTGGGGAAGCACAGCAGGTAGGTAAACGACAAAAAAGGACAGTAGCAGGGACACAGTAAGTGCTTCTGGCCACCCGCAGGCATGGGCACCAACTTGCTGGCCCCCAGGCTCCTTTGGAACAGCATCTGCCTTTCAATGCCTGTGTTTCTCACAGCAGGAGCCTGAGGAAATCAGTCTTTGGACCACAGAAACCCAGCAACTTAGGGACAGATTGAAAGTTGCATGTCCTCAGTGGTCAGCTCAGCCTCAAATGAAAAGCTGTAGGTGGATGAAACCTGTAGTTGTTTTCAGGACTCTTAGGTTAGAGTAGCCTCACAGCTGTCTTTTTTTGGGTTGTTTTTTCTTCTATTTTTTTGAAGCTGTCTAAATAAGGTAGTGTTTTCTCACAACACTGTTTTGTGAAGGCAAATTAATTTTTTTCGAAGAGGATGTAAGCACCTCTAGTTACCCACATATGAGTAAGTATGATGCACACAACACCATTCACAAGTGCTGTAAAGAAAATAGCTAACAAAAGGCAGAGTATCTGTGCTACAAATCACAGACTGTTGAAAGAAATCTGAGGCCAAAGTACCTGGAGAGATGGGCCATGTTCTCTGATGATTTCCACATCATAGAGATGTTACAGTGGACCCTTGACCTACAAACTCAATTCATTCACAGGGGCTGGTTGTAACTCAAGAGGCTCAGGCTCCTCTACACAGACTTCAAAGTCTCTCTCTTGCATAATTTTAGGCCACACTTTCTTCCTGGCAGATCTCAGTGTCCTTGAGACATTGGCCCAGGATTTCTCAATTAACCCTACACAGGAAAGGATGTTGTAATGTTCCTTCTGGAACTCTAAGGGTTAAATCTGTATCTGAGACCATCTGGAGGCACAAGCAGCCAGCATTTGGGTTGTAACGCAAGACTTTGGTCGTAAGTTAAAACTGAAAGTCTGGTCTTAACCCAAGTCGTTCATGTATCAGGCCAGTCGTAACTCAAGGATCCATTGTATTTCTCCCCAAATTGATCTACAGATTCAATGTAATTCCTATCAAAATCCAAAGGAGTTTTTGGTTTTTTTGTGAGTATATGCAAGCTTGTAAGATGTAGATGGAAAGGCTCAGGCCCTAGAAAAACTATAACAATCCTAGCAGAGAAGAATAGATTAGGAGGACTAACTGCCCAGGATCAAGACTTACTACAGAGCCTCCATAACGGAGACAGTGTGGTAGTAGTGAGGGACACAGATCAATGGAACAGAGCGGAGAACCCGGAAACAGACGCACACAACTGAAGTGCAAAAGGCACTCTAAAGAAGTGTGGACACCCATAGGCAAGTAAAACACTTCAACATAAATCTCACACCTTGTAAAAAAATTAACACAAAGCCAGGCACAGTGGTGCCCACCTGTTATTGCCAGCACTCTCAGAGCTGAGTAGCTGGGAGGATAAGCACATTCGAATTAGTGGTTCCCAGGGGTCAGGCCAGCGGGGTGGGGGCAACAGGGAGAGGGGTAGGTGTGTTTAGAAAAGGACACGATGATTATTCTTGTGCTGAGGAAACTATTCTTGAATGTTGCTATGGATATGCAAACCTGTGAGTGTTCCCAAGCAAAATTATATGGAACTAAATCCACAAACGAGCACAAGTCAAATTGAGAAGATCTCAATTAAGATCAGTGGATTACATTCACATCCTGGTTGTGATGCTCTTACTGTAGTTTTGAGAGATGCTCACCTTGGGGGAAACTGGGTTAAAAGTCCAAGGGATCTCTCCGTACTTGCACAGGGATCCCCAGGAAGGGCGAACCCCAGAGCAAAGGCAGCAAAGGGAACCCCAGCACAGGGACGGACACCCTCAGGCACCTCCGCTCAAACTCCTACTCCGTTACTGGGGCCCAGAGTGCAGCTGGGCGCCTAAGCAGTGGGCGCGTACCAGCCCTCTCACCTGCCAAGGCAGAGAGCAGGCGGCAAGCCAGAGCCCACCCTGGTGTCAGTGTCTTCCCACCCTCAGCCAGTTAGTCCCCAGGACATCTCAGGGGACACTTCTCATAGCTCCTCAATAATTATTTGGCCAAGCAGCAGAGAACCTTCCTAAGGGGAGAAAGAAGAATTTGCCTCCCCAACTCCAACAACAGAGGCAAAGCCAAACCTTTTGGGCTGGAGCACATTTGGGGCACTGGCACAGGGGATGACAGAATTCAAGATCCACTGCACTGACAGCATCCTCCACTTCGTCCAGGTCCTCCTCCGTCCACTCCAAAAGGTAGCGCACCTAGTGTTGGACAGTAAAGAGAAACAGGAGCTGGAGGTTACCCTCAGCACCTTTATGGGCAACGGTGCCATACACACCCTGAACTATTCCCACTGCGGGGAATACACTTCCTTCCTCGACCAGCAAAGCAGACACACCTGTGCCCAGGCCTTTCTAAATTCCTGTATAAAAATGAACTCAAAGCCAGGCACAGTGGTGCACATCTGTAGAGGATGGAGAGGGATCTGCCTACCATGTTTGCGGCTATTAGTTTCTCTTCTGTCTTACAAAGGGGCATGCTGGTGCTGCCTCAGGCAGGCTTTCCGGCCTGTCCTGGCACCTGCTGAGTATGTCCCTTACATTTGTTCCCTAGCTGTATGTGTCCCACACGCCAGAGGCAGCTCCCAGAGCCTTCCCTCTTTACCTGCCAGACCATGTGCACTGGGCGGTCACCAGCCCATCCCAGAGCGTACAACCAGTTGGGCAGTGAGACCCACCCACAGGCACCTGGACTCCACACCAGTGTTCTGCCACTACTGCACTTTAGCCCACAGGGGAGCACTGAAAAGACCCTCAAATGGAGCAAATTTATGTTTCAGTAAAGGCTGGTTTCTATGATATCAGATGCCAGAGAATAAAGCATATAAATGTGTTTCAAGGCCTGGTTCTAAGTACTGCAAGCCACCACATTCCTGCAAGGAGGGAGAGTTTCAGGAGGACCCCTACTGATTCCAACCTTCAGCACTCCAGGTCACTTCCACATTCCTGATAAGGAATGCTGCCCAAGGGGACACACTCCAGGCCTCTAGGCAGGGACCACCAGCCTAGGTGACACAGGCCGTGGGCAGCTCCTCTTGGAGAGAGGAAGGGAAAAATATTAGGGTGGGAACCTGCTGGGCAGGTGGCCTGGGTAGGGGAAGGCAATCAAATGTGAGGAGGTCAGCCTGAGGACGACTTAGGGCCCTGGGCAGCTGCCCCTGTCCATCGATGACCTGCCACAGTACAGCAGAGCACCCGAGCCTGAGACAGTCACGAGCGCTTCTCTACTCAGGCTGTGCCCAGCTCACACCCTGGCACCCTCCTCCGTTTCCACAAAGAATGCCAAGTGCTCCTGGGGCTGGTCTCAGCCCTGGCCAGACACTGACACTCGTGCCCCCCCCCCCGCCCCGGCCCGAGGCTCCGTGTGCCACTCTCACAGACCGACAGGGGCCTCTGGGTGAAGACCAATAACTATTCAGATTCTGCAAGATTCTGCATCCTAGAAGCGGTAAGAATAGTGGAAGATGATTTTCTCGTAAGAGAGGAAATCACCCCTCTGTATGGAATTGGGCAACTGTGGGGTAACTGTTTTTAGACAACTAGGGGTTAAGTGGGTAACTATGCTGTTTCTGGAATGCACCTGAGTGACCATGACAACTTCTGTAATTTGTCACCAAAGGAACGTAATGGACTCAAAAAGTCCTGCTGGGCCAGGGATTTAGCTCAGTGGTTTCACTGCCTATTGCGCAACCACAAGGACCTGAGTTCGATCCCTGGTACAAAAAAAAAGTCCTGCCAGAACTCTTCCCCTTCCCACACACACACATACCTGCTGCTCTGCTTTGTGTAAATCCTGCTTGCTATATTCCCAGGGAAACGCCAATGAAATCAAGCCTTGTAAATATGAAAAGAAGTATATAAAGAAGAATAAACTCTTAAGACTGACAAGAGTCACTTGCTGAACCGCCAGCATTAAAGCTGATTTGCTTCTTCTTTATGTGTCAGAGTGGTCTGTCTGGGAATCTCATGCAGTTTCCTACTGCACTCAGGGCTTCTAAATGGTTAAGCACCTAATTTACTACTCCATTAAAAGTGGCAGACATAGGCTGGCCACTGTAGGGCATGCCTGTGATCCCAGCAGTTTTCCAGGCTGAAGCAGGAGAATCTCAAGTTCCACCCCAGCCTGGGGACCTTAGTGACTTAGTGAGACTTTGTTTCAAAACAAAAAATAAAAAAAGGGCTGCGGATGTAGCTCAGTGTGAAGGCCCTGGGTCTCATTCCCAGTGAAACACACATGGCATATTCCTTTCCGGAAGCCAAAGGAAAGCCAGGGGAAAGTGCCCTTAGGAATCTCCCAAAAGCTATCTCTGCTGTCCACCGAGTTCATCAGATGTGCCCCGTCCCTTGGCAGTGATGGTAGAACAGATGCCTTCCCAAAAGTCACAATATCATCTTCAGCTGCCAGCCCAGAGTAGTCAGACCCCTGCTTGTGACTCTCAGAGCCCCAAGCCTCAGACCTCAGCCCCTGCCCCAAGTCAGAACTGCCAGCAACTGCAGCCCCACTCAGGGCTCTGGACTTGGCCTGGTCTCTACTACCTCCTCCTCTCCCCGTGACCCTGCACTCTCTAGGCCGCTGGGCACAGTCTGATCTTGCCCACATCTCACCATCCCTGGAGCAAAAATGTCTTCATACTGTGCCTCCAAACTCATTTGGAAAATACAACATTGCTGCCATCAAATACACATGTACCACCTCATCTAATGCAGACTGAGCAAAGAACCCAGAGCTCAAGAGTGCAGACAGGAACACAAGTGTACTGTTTCAGATTGAGCACTAGCTTCTTAAAATACTCATCTGAAGACTCACCATCTCCAGGTCTCCATCAGCAACTGCTCTTAAGAGTTTTTCTACCTTAATAAAAGGAAAACAAAGAGTCGGAGATTTAGCTCAATGGTTTTGTCGCCTGCTGCTAAAGCGCAAGGACCTGAGTTCGATCCCCGGTACCCAAAGAAAAAACAAAAAAAGGAAAACGAGTGTTAGGAAAGTGATTTTAAAAATACAGTAATAAGAAATAATATAAACATCCTGAAAACCTAGTAAGTAGCCTTTGTCTCCTGATGTGTTTTTTTTTTTAATTCATTAAGTTTATTGGCACATTTTAGGTATACAATATGATGACATTTATCACTGGGAATTTGTACCTTTATATGATATACCTTGGTTCTTCTTTTTTTTCCCCATTCCCCTGCCCTCCCTTCAACCCCTCCACCCCTCCCTATTTACAAAGACTTTGTTTCCATTTTTTCCTTTTCTCATATTTATGCCTTTCCTTTCTTTCCTTTCCCCTACCCCTCCCAATTCCCCTTCTCTATCCCCTTTGGACCTTTTCTTCCTATTTCACATTATCTATTATATATTTTGATCTTTATTTACACTTTTAGTTTCTCACACTAGAGAAACTATTCGGTATTTACACATGTGTGTCCTATTTATTTCTCTTAAGAGTATGGCCTCAATGTGCATCCATTTAGCTATAAATGTCCCTATCATTCTTTATGGCCGAGTAGTACTCCATTTTATTAAAAAACCACATCTTCTTTAACCAGTCACCAGTTGATGGGCATTTGGGCTGTTTCTAAGATTTAGCTATTATAAACTGCGTGGCAATAAACACAGTTTATGCACATGTGTTTAACAGCTTATTTAATACATTTCAAACATATCCCTAGAATTGCTCCAAAAGAGCATCCTGGGAAAAATCTATTGTCATTTAAGGTACATAAAACATAACTATTAGCTGTGCATGGTAGCATACACCTGTAGTCCCAGCACTCAGGAGGGTGAGGGAAGAGGATCTCAAGTTTGAGGCTAGCCTGGACTTCATAGTAATGCCTGTCTTCAAAAAGAAACAAGACAGGACCAGGGATTTAGCTCAGTGGTGCCACCGCCTGCCTCGCAAGTGCAAGGTCCTGAGTTCAATCCTCGGTCCAAAAAAACAAAACAAAAGAAACAAGACAAAGGCCGTGGATTTAGCTCAATGGTCGCCTGCTGCGCAAGCGCAAGGACCCGAGTTCGATCCCCGGTACCAGAAAAAAAAAAAAACAAAAGAAACAAGACAAAAGAAAACAACCATAGCTCTTAATTACTAGTCTGTAAAAGGTGAGATGATGGTGACCTTGGTGTATACTGCTTTCTAAGAAGCCAGGCACCCTATAATTCAGAACTAAACAAGGCCTAGAGATTTAGCTCAGCCTGGCAAGGGGAAGGTGCCAATTTGATTTCTGGTACAAAAAAGCAAAACAAAACAAAACTTGGGCTGGGGATTTAGCTCAGGGGCAATGCTCCTGCTTTCCAAGCGCAAGGTCCTGAGTTCAATCCCCGGCACCAAGATTAAAAAAAAAAAAAAAAGGACTACACATACTCAGCTCTCATTAACCACTACCCAGGAAGGTGGATACCTCCTCACAAGAAAGACTTCAGGTCTCTGCTGGCCTGTGGACCGTGCCTCTTGGCTTTCTTTGTGGGTGCTTTGCAGAGACTAAACTTGTTGGGTCTCCAAGAACAGGTCACAGCTTGGGTCTTAGGGATGCTAGGGCTGAGTCACTTCTTACCTAAATTCTCTAAGAAGCCAGGGATGACCTGTATCAGATTATTAGTGGGGTGCTTATGGGTTTGGGATGGAGAGCAGAGAATGTACTTTGCAAAAGGTCTGAAATCAGTGGACCGGCAGGCAGCTTTGCTTGTATTTTTCTTAGACTATATTCTCTCTGCCTCTGTCTTTTTCTTCTTCTCTCATACACATAGTTCATCAAGCTGCTGAGGGAGGAGCCTGGAAGGGCCCAGAAGTGAAGAGCAACGTGAGGTACAGTTGGGCCCATCACAAAGGTACTACCTTGGCCCCAGCACAAGCGGCTGTTGCAGTACCAGGCAAGCAGTCTGATGGGCAACTCACATCAGGTTATAGCTTTTTGTTTTTGCAGTACTAGGGATTGAATCCAAGGCCTCTGCACTGAGATACATCCTCAGTGCCCATCACCACTATACCCCCAACACATACTTTTTTTTTTCTTTTTGGTACCAGGAATCGAACTCGGGTCCTTGCGATTGCAAGGCAGGCAGCAAAACCACTGAGCTAAATCCCCGGCCCCACATACATTTTTTTTGAGAGGGTCTAAGTCACTAAGTTGCCTAAGCTGGACTCAAACTTGCAATTTAATTCTCCTGCCTCAATCTCCCAGAATGCCAAGATTACAGGCACCATTGTACCCAGCTCAGGCTATGGCACGTCCACTGGCCACCCTAACACCAGAGCCACAAGGTCCTCTTCACCCTCCTCCCATCAGGAAGGCTCACCTCTCTGTAGTCCTTCTTGGGGTCCTTTTGTTTAGAGCTCACCAACACAGAGAAGCTGGAGGTGGAGGAGCCCTGGCTGATAGAATCCTCAGAGTGTTGAGGGGACAGTGCAGGGACCTGCAGGAAGTGCACCCAGGCAAGAGAAGGGACACGGGCACACAGGCACGTGAGGACCATGGAGGGGCCCGGAGCTCCCATCTCACCAGCTAGTGCAGCCCGGCTAACTCACCTCAGGAAGCTTTGGCCTCCTTTCAAAGGACAGATGATGGGCTTCCATTATGGACAGGATCTAGGAGGACATGGAGACATGAGAAGCAGTGAATGAGATGTGCTGTCACAAAGGGTCATCACCCACAGTTCCTCTGCCCATCTGTCCCCATGGAATGTCAGCGCAGCAAGAGTCAGGTCCTGCAGCCCAGCCATAACCTCGGTCAGACGCCAAACTAGCCCTGGTGCAGTGGGAACGCATTCAGTATCACACTGGACAGAGTCGGGGCTTCCTGCCCTTGTACTGCACTCCTCTAACAGCGAGGCAGAGCTTCCTAGGTCTCAAAGCTCCCTGTCTGGCCTCAGCCTGCCCTCCACAGCGTCAAGTGGGACTTTCTGACTGGTGCTCACTAGTCTCAAGCAGGGACAGCCCAGAGTCAGGCCAAGAAGGCAGCCTGCTCTCTCCTCTGCAGCTCTCCCTGCAGATGGGCCTCTGGTAGCAGCATCGCAACGCCAACCCAGGAAAGCACAGCTCAGTCCTCTAAGCTGCTGCAACCTGAGACCTTGTGGGTTTTCAGGGCAGCATAGCCGGGGCCTCTGGAGCCAGGAGCAGAGGCGCAACCCTTCCAAACCACTGCTGCTATAGACCTAATGCTAAGGGTTCTTAGCACACGCACGAAAAGAGCAATAATAAATGACAGGCAGGGGCTCACTGGTGACGGCAATGTTCACAGCACAGGCTGTGGTGATGGCTTCATGGGTGTGTACTCAGCTCCAGATCCATCAAGTTGTCCCTGTGGAGTATGCACAGCTTTTTCTATGTCAACCTCAACAAGGTGGTTTAAAATAGATGAAGGCCGGGGATTTAGCTCAGTGGTTTTGCCGCCTGCTGTGCAAGGACAAGGACCGGAGTTCGATCCCCAGTACCAAAAAAAAAAAAAAAACCACAACAACAACAAAAAATAAAATAGATGAAAACTGTGCTACTCTCAGAATAGATGTGAATAAGACAAAGGAACTCCCCGAATTGGAAATGATCAGGGAGAGCCAGTAAAACATCAAAAGGCAGAAAGTTGGACCTGTGTGAAGGGGGACAATTGGAACCTTGTTCTAAAATGGAGACACTTCTATAAGCTGAGAATCACTGCTGTTCTGGGCCCACAGAGGGTTCATCTCACAGGGGTCCTTGCTTCCCCTGGCAAATCGCCAACTTGCTTCTCCTAGGCTACCCCTCCCACCAGGGAGGTGCTGGGGTGCTGGACATAAGGATTGGTCCCCATGAGCTGCCTTCTTCCCCACCCACTCATGAGCAGTGGGTACTTCCATGCAGGGTGCCAAAAATCATATTTTGAGAAATCACTACCAGGAAAAGGTGTCCAAGCTTGTTACAAATCATTGATGAAAGAAACTCTACCCAATGAGGTTCAGCATTGGCCAAATGAAAATAAAGCTTCTAGCTGGACATGGTGGCCCCTGCCTGTAATCCCAGCACTTGGGGGACTGAACCAGAAGGATCACTGCAAGTTCAAGACCAGCCTGGGCTACATAGTGAGTTCAAGGCCAGCCTGAACTACATAGGGAGACCCTGTCTCAAAAGCCAAAAAAAAGGAAAGAAAGAAAATAAAGCTTCTGGAAGCTGAAGCGATGGTAGACAGAACTAGGACATGTTCTGCTTTCATTCCCCCATCCCCTATGTCTGTTCCTCTCACCCTGGGTCCCACTGTCACCTGTCCACTGCTGGAAGAAGTCCACAGCCTTCAGAGGCCAAGCCAGCTCAGCTGGGAGCAGCTCTTAGTACAACACTGAGAAAAACTGCTAGTAACGCTGAAAATAATCTAAATAAGTAAAACCTATTAACAACGACATTCCAAATATAGCACAGAGGGTGCAGACCAAGTTCCACCACTAATAACACGTCCAGACACTAACGGACATTCATCTAGTGAGGCCAATCTATGAACACTGATTTTTTACACTTATCTGATGCTCAGAGACGAAAAGAGCTACCTTTGAGTTTAATGCACACTTGAGCGCCGTCTCTTTCAGCCTGTTTTGGATTTCTGTGGGTGCCCCATTCTGCAGCAATGTCTCTATGATGCCTTGGTAACCCCAGCGTGCAGCTATGTGAAGGGGCGTGTCTCCTTTCTCATTGCCAATATCCAGTCTGCAGGACTGCACATCATAGTAGACCAAAGCCTTCACACACTGCAAGGAAATGAGAAGGTGCCACTTTGTCCTAACGTGCAAAGTCTCAGGCAGCATCTGCACCCCCATGGCTTCAGTCCATGTCCTGCTTCAGCTGAGGCCCCATGCACGAAGCCAAAGTATAGCAGCACACAGTATAGCTCTGGGAGCCATGTTACCCCAGCAGGACACTGTGCTGTTTTCAAAAAGAACACAATACAATCAGTAAATCAGTAAGAAATAGCTGACTGAAACTGTGATGTCTCCATGTACAGCCCAGAGGCCTGGGAATGCTTTCCTTTAAAGGCCTTCTAACGAGATCGTCCCTTGGCCTGTACTGTTCCTCAGACCCTGGATATAGGGAGTGAGCCATGGTCCCCAAGCTGACAGGTGGCTCACGCAGCCTGCACTGTGTTGTACAACAATGTGGTTTATGCCGAACATATGCTTTCCTTCAGGGGTGTGGAATTCTGAGCCACAGGACGCTCAGACAACCAGTGAGAATAAAAGTCTTGGGCACCCAGTCCCTAACAAGCTTCCCTGAGAGATGACACTTGGTGTGTGTTGTCACAGCTCACTGCTACAGGAATAAAGCACATCTTGTGCAACTCCAGAGAGAAAGGACTGTCGGAAACTCTGCTCTGGTTTCCTCCAGACTTCATTCCTGTGCTTTTTCTCTTTGAGGATTTTGCTATGTCCTTTCGCTGTAATAAACACAGCTGTGAGTCACGCAACTATATCGTGAGTGTTCCTAGCAATCGGTGAACCTATGTGGTCCTGAAGTCCCTTGATATACTACAGGTGGATTGCTGTGCTATTAAAAGCTATTTAAGAACAGGTGAGATTTATGCTGATCGCCCTGGGGGATTTTGCTGACATAATAAGGTGGGAAAGCGTGTTGCATAGAAATGTACAGGGTATGATCTCATTTTTGTACATTAACCCCAAACTCAGCCTCAACTTTACACGTGCACATATCTATTTCTGTATAATTCTGGGGGATGAAAAGGGAGAAGAGTAGATAGCAAAAGATAACACAAGCAGAGTAAAATAGTAAGCAGAAATGGAAATTATAAAATTCCTAGCTGTTACTTATAAAATGGAAAATTTGAATATGCACTGAGTTAAGAACCAGATGGTAGTGGAAATGAGTGAAAATGATTTAATTTCAGGATAAGATAATGGGCAATTAAGTTTTAGTTTCTGTTACTTCAATAAAACATCTGTAATACATTAAATTTTTTAAACTAAAAATATTACACACCCCATGCTTCAATAATTATCGACACAATACACAACATTAAACTAGCTAGAAGTTCACATTTCTCCGGGAGTTAATGAAGAATGAAAACAGCCGCTCCTGGAAGGCCAGGTGCCACTTACATCTTCGTGCCCGTAGGTGCAGGCCAGGTGCAGGGGGGTGTTGCCGTTGTTGTCCTGTACCTCAGCACTGGCCTTGTAGTGCAGCAGCAGCAGCTGGCAGACAGACGACAGCAGGTGAGCCCAGCAGGGCAGCAGGAAACAGGAAATGTGTCTTTGCGTCTGTCTCATGGGCGGAGGTCATTTGTTCCCATCTTGAATCTATGGATTGACCATTCCTAATCCAAAACTCTCAAATCCAAGATGCCTCACAATCTAAAATCCAGAGCCTTGTGGATACTGGGCAAGTGCTCTACCACTAAGCTACAGCCCCAATTCCCACAATCTGAAACTTTCTGAGTGCCAACACATCACCACCAAGTGGAAAATTCCACGCCTGACCACATGTGATGGGTCGAAGTCAAAAAACAGATGCATTTAAATACTGTATGAGATTGCCTTCAAGTAGGTGTACCAGGTAAGCATGAATCATAAATGAAGCGTGGAGTGGTGACGCACACCTGTGGTCCCAGTACTCTAAGAGAGGCTGAGGGAGGAGGAGCACAAGTTTGAGCCCAGCTGGATATCCTAGTAACTTAGTGAGACCCTGTCTCAAAATAAAAAATTAAAAAGGGCTGGTGAGGGCCTAGGATTTAGCTCAGTGGTTCTGCCACCTGCCTCGCAAGTGCAAGGACCCAAGTTCGATCCCCCATACCAAAAAATAAATAAATAAAAGGGCTGGAGATATAGCTCAGTGTGAAGGCCCTGGGTTCAACCCCAGGACTGTAAGCAAGCAAGCAAACATACATGAGGGAGGACTAGAGGAGGGGAAAAAGGTGATCAAAATGATCGAGATATGTTATATATGTACCAATTCCCCAAAACAAATGCTAGTATCATGCACTGCCAACATATACCAACACGAATAATTTTTTTAAAAAAAACAAATGAATTTTGTGTTTGTACTTGTGTTCCATTCCCAAAATATCTCCTTATGTATGTGCCAATATTCCAAAACCTAAAAATAAACTTAAACCAAACACCTTTCCAAGCATTTAGGATAAGGGATATTCAACTTGTGCTACTACTAAAACTATGCCACTGCTTTCACCCTGCCTGTCAAAAAGTTTGGAGATTAAAGGGAAACATCTCCAGCCCCACCCTCTCTTCCCTCGGACGTTCAGTGGACCCAGGCAGGTGCCTCCTGCTCCCACCCACACTGCACTGCCCACACAGCTAGAGGCGCAGCACCGGGACACTTCGGGCAGCGCAGGGCGAGCTCCTGAGCTCCCAAGCTCCCAAGGCCCCTGCTCACCGTCACGCTCTGGTAGCCCCTCTGACACGCCAGGTGAAGCGGAGTGGAGCCGTGATAGTCCATGGCATTCACCACAGCACCCTTGGAAACCAGGAGGTCGATGAGGGACGCCTGCCCTGCAGAGTGGAGAAGTAAGGGCAGGAGCTTCCCACACCTGATGTGAAGCCACGGTGCATCTTACCCACCTCTTACATCCCAGCAACAGGCACCCCGGGATGTCTGTTTTCTGCTGGAGAGGAGCCACAGTAAATGTCAAGACAGGCTCTGCAGACTCAGAAAACACTTAAGGGTCGGACCCAGCCCAAGCCCATCTCAAGGCAATCAAAGGCAATGGAAAAGAGCCTTACACAGCCACAGAACATGTCAACTTATAGGGTGGAACACTATGCAGCCATTAAAATACAAATAGGGAGAAATGCTCTGATACATTGCCAAGTGAAAAGCAGCACCGTCCAGAGCAATATGAGCCTTGTGACATAAACAGATTTTATACATACATACACAAAAGCATGCAGAAATTCCAGATACTCAGAAATTAAAATTATCTCTGAGAGATTAGAGGATGGCCAGTGACACAGGAGAAGTTTGGATTTTCTGCCTTCACTGTCCACTGTAAAAACATTTTTAAGCCAGATATGATGACACACGCCTATAATCCCAGCACTCAGGAGGCTGAACCAGGAGGATCACCAGGAGTCTGGGGCCAGTCTGGGCTACACAGTATGTTCAAGGCCTGTCTGAACTAAATAGTAAGGCCCTGTCAAAAAACAAAACAAAACAAAAAACACATATACACACAAAAACACCCACATTTTTGAGGGTAGTGAATGATGGCATCTCATTATGTTGCCTAAATTGGTCTTGAACTCAGAATCTTCCTGTCTCAGCCTCCTGAGTAGCTGGGATTATAGGTGCACAGCACCAACTGGGCCCAAAATTATTTTTAAAGGCAGAGTTAGAAGAACCCTAAACTGATAATTCTGAGACCATTCTCATGGTAGGGATTCCAGCCTCTTCTCCCTGGGCCCCAGCCCCAGGGCAGTGTCAGGCAGTGTCTACCGGGTAAGACCCATGGATGAGCTCTTCTGGCCCAAGAAGCAGCACGATGGCCACAGAGGTCACACAACGGCTATCCAGGCCCATGGGACATTCGCTATTCTCCCCTTGCCAGCCCTGGGAGTGCATCCACCATGCATGCTCTGTGCTACCCCGTCAGCCAGGCTGCACCGGGCCACCTCGCTCGGTGCCACCCCTTTGCCACAGGAGCCACAGCAGGGCCACATACCACAGAGAGCAGCCACATGGAGAGGCGTGTGCCCCCTGTCATCTCTGGAGAATGGAGTGACAATGGATGGATCATTCAGCCTCCTAGGACAGAGAAGACACAGAAAAGCACATAGGTGGAATGGCATGGTAAAGCCTCTTTCCAGCCAGGCCATCATGCCGGCATCTTGAGATCGCAGAATGTGTCCGCACTGGCAAGGGACCTCCTGGCCAACTCCTATAGGGAGAGGATCCGAGGCCTGTAGCTCCAGTGTTCCTCCCCGTCCAGCCCTTTAGGTCTCAGCACTTGGCAAAATAGCCTTTTGTTTTTGTTTTTTCCCAGTACCAGGGATCAAACTCAGGACCTTGCGCTTGCCAGGCAGGCATGCACCACTGGGCTAAATCCCTGGCTCCCCAAATAGCCTGTTGAAACCAAAAGTGTAATTTGGAAAAACTGACATTGCCCCACCCTAAAGCCCCCTTTAAAGCTGAGGCTGAGGAAGCCCTTACACCAGCCCAGTGGCATGCAGATATTTTTACAACCTCTACTTCGCCTGGTTCTCCTAAGGAGCGGATGTCACATGTGGCAGCAGAGGAAGCTGAGATGCAGTGAGAATGTGGCCCTTTTCATAAGTGCACGGAAGATAAGTGGAAAATTCCACCAGGACCATGTCTCCTACCCCTGGCACACACAGCTCCCTCTTACCCAGAGACCAGTTTCTCACAGTCATCACAGAAGCATAGTGGGTGACACATCTTTTGGACAGCATCTTTGTCATGGTCTTCTTGGCTCAGAAGTCTTTCCACTTCCTTCTGGTTACCTGAAGCGATGTGCTAAAAACCGAGATCCCAAACTCTATCAATGCTAAAGAATCACTTGTCCTTGGAGGTGTGAGTATTTTGAAAGCCCTGATTTGCTCTCTAGGATTTCCTTCAAAATTATCTGGGCAGATGGGGAGACTAGGAAGGGCTGGAGATGAAATAAGTCTGGGTGATGGTTACACAGCAACTTGCTTTTTATACTACTCCCCTTATTTCTATAAATGTTAGAAATTTTCCATAATTAAAAAAATGATAAAATTCCCAAAGCAATAGGAAGGGCCACACACAGTATATCTCTGAACCTTAACGTGGTTTTTCATTCCTCGGTCTTATTCCTCTTATATTCGAATACAGCCTCAGCTTAGGGGAAAAAGATCAGGTACAATGGGCAAGAGGCCCCACTGACACACAAGCCAAGGGCTTAGCCCTGTGACTGCTGGATGCACTCGCTGGGAGCATCAGTAGGCTCCCCAAAAGGCCAGCCTCTCCCAGCCCTCCACGACTCCCTGCAGGCACCACCCCAGCCTCCCAGGGTCAGTCAGTATCAGTGCAGGGAGCTGTCTCATGTGCCCACGATCAAACCACCAAGGAATCAGATGCTGCAGTGGCTCGGGACCTGCACACATACCTAGGTGACAGCAGCTCCCACAGCCCAGCAGAGGTAGCAACTCTGCGGCAGCTACCAGGGGAGGGGAGGCACTGCTGAGCCGACCACGACAAAGACATCCCAATATCTTACCTTAAAGAGGCAGTCAATAGGAGTTGAGGTCATCTGAGACAGTAAGCTCATCCTCTGCTTAAGAAACAGTCTGTCATCAAAGCCCTCCGACTCCTGCAGGAAAAAGCAAACAACCGGTCTTATCACACAGACCCTGCCACATAGAAGGCCCAGCTGTGATCCCTGCCATTCATCACAGAACAGGTCAGGGCCACTTCTCCCACACCTGGATCTGCTCACTGAGGCAGAGAGCAAACTCAACTGGAAGGGGAGACTCTCACTACGGCTGTCTGTTTGGGACCAGGAGGCACTGGCTATGCAGTGTGGAATGTGCCACCCCTGCACGTGGAATGTCGCGCACACACACACCATCATCCTGCAGATGGAAGGCTGGACTGCCCTGGCCTCTTTCCCTCTTCCCCATCCCATCACATTAGCCAGAGGTACAGACAGAAAGCAATCAGACAGGCTGGTCCCTCCTACTTCCCAGTGCCAGCCAGCACAAGGAGGCGTCCTGCTTTGGGAGCGTACTCATGAAAGAGATGCCACACTCCTGGGGCCAAAGTCTGGGAAGGCCCTAGGGAAGAATTCCTGACACAAACAGATCCTCTCATCTCCAACCACTTTTGACATTTCAAGGACCTGCCCTACTTAACAAATCCAGATCTTCATACTGCAGATATTATTTGGATACAAAAATCTAGACATTTGTCCCTCCTTTATGAAATCATATCAGGATAATTCAGTGGTCACTTGAGCACCTGCAATGAAACTGTCTCATCATGAATTAACTTCCTGAAAATGGGTCTTGGTGGGAGGCGAAGGGAAATTTTTCCCCCAGCCGGGTTCTATAGGAATGACCCTAAAACCATCACAAAATGGTGGGGTGAGGTGCTTTTTTTACAGTCCACTGAGTTCTGAGTTGGCCGAAGACAGAGCCAACAGCATGTCAGGGGATGGACGTTCTGGGCTTCTCCATTAAACAGGGTCCTTAAACAGGGTTAACTTGACAGACAAACACCAGCGCCTCTGAATGAGCCACTTCGGCCCCCAGCTGCTAGATGCTATATAAAGCTCACACAATCTGCTTTATAGGGTGACTCATAGCTGAGCCGCTTAGGGCCAGAGAAACTCAGATCAATCCAGGACTTCTTCCTCAACTCAGGGTAGCTGTCTGAAGGGCAGCAAGGAAGAAAGTAGGTCTTCCAGGACTGAGTCTTCAGGGGGAGTGAGCAGTCAGAAGGGACAGTGCATCAGCAGAGACTTATTTGGGAAATGGGTAAATACTATTTACTAGAAACTCAGGCTGGGGATTTAGCTCAGTGTTTCTGCTGTCTGCCTCGCAAGTGCAAGGTCCCGAGTTTGATCCCTGGTACCAACAAAAACAAACAAACAAACAAACAAACAAAAAAGGAAAGAAACTCAGGACAGTGAAGAAGACCAGAAGTATGCAAATCTGGAGCAGGGGATGATAGTACAAACATATAACCTCAGAACTCGGGAGGCTGAGGCAGAAGGATCATGAGGTTGAGGCCAGCCTGGAGTACATAGTGAGTTTAAGACTAGGGCTGGGGATTTAGCTCAGTGGCCCCGCACCTGCCTCGCAAGCTCAAGGTCCTGAGTTCGATCTCTGGTACAAAAAAAAAAGACTAGCCTGGACTATACATTGAGACCCTACCTCAAACAAGGAGGAAGGAAGGAAGGAAGGAAGGAACAAAGAAAGAAAGAAAGAAAGACAGAGAGAGAAAGAAAGAGGGAAATAACTGGAACAAGAAATGGTACAAATTGTTTCAAGGGTTTTCCCTTAATTTTCTGATGAACAAAGGCAAAACTGGAGCCATCTCAGTAATATTTATTCTCAGAAAACTAAAGTCTTCATTTGTGAACACACTTAAAGAACGTGTGTGGTCAGACCGGGAATGCTGGTGCACACCTATAATCACAGCACTCAGGAAACTGAGGCAGGAAGATTGTGAATTCAAGGCCAGCCTGGACTACAAAGGAACATAGCAAGATCTTGTCTCAAAAAAAAATTGTTTATGTCATCTCAAGTATGGTTATACCTTTGGGAGAAAATTTCTGTGGAACCATATTCCATATTAGATGAAGAGTTGAAAGTAAAATCTTATATAATTTACTAATATTTCATCCTTACTGCTTTTCAGAAACCTTGCCTGCTGTGCGGAGACACATGTGAGCTCTTCCCCCAGGAAGCAGCACCATGACATTGCACTGACTTCACCTATTCCCTAAATGGAACTTCATTACCTAAAAGAAGCCAGTCAGCAGCAAAGGCAGACAACTGGTACAGACAGAATCCCAATGATGGTGTCACCGAAGACAAGGAGGCCACAGCACCTGGTCTGTCGATAACAGGCCAGGCTCAGGACAGGTGGGGAGCAGCTCTCAAGGGTGACTCACTTAACACCCAGGGGACAGGCCCCAGGCAGGCCACAAAGACGACACATCCATGGCCCCAACATCCACCAGAATCAACACCCTGCATTCAGGAAGGCAGGATCAGGGCAGACACCCCAGGCAAGATGGGCTGTGACCCTCCCTTGCCCGCCTAAGCCAAACACCATCCTTGGGGATAATCTTTCAGGATACACAGGGGAACCCAGATGCAGGGGAGAGCAAGCAAGGGCACCAGAATACCTTGGTGCTTCAAAAGTTACCCTTTGCTAACATGTCTGATTCTCCCAAAGATCTATCAATGGGTAAAATATGCAGCGTTGTCCCCAGTATAAATGGGAAAATGGACAGAGCCTTAGAGTGACAAGCAGATTTGCCAAAGGTCAAATAAAAGGGCAGGATTCAAACTACCACCAGCAGGAGAGGGACCACTTGCAACATTTTCTGGAATAAAAGCAGGTGAGAGAAGCTCCCTGGTTTTGTTTGGTCAGCTACCTCCTTCTAACCTGGCCAAAGCCTTTAGGTATTGACTTTCCTAAGTGCCACAGAAAGGAAGAGCCAGGATGGCCACACTGTGGGGCAGCAAAGGGACAGGACCCCCCTCCAGAAGACAAGGGATGCTCCCAGCCTCATCATGGAGCATCAGGCTGATTCCCCTGCATGATGGAAGAGCCAGGAGAGAAAGAGGAAAGAACCACAAAAGGCAAAAAAAGGCAAAAGACATGGGAAACCACTCCAGACATGATGAGAACAGCACATGATGCTCCTAGACCCTCACAGAAAATAACTGCAAGGAAGAAGCCTTACAGCCAAGGGAATGAACAGCAATTCTGATTCTGCACACACATGTGCACGCAGAGGCATGTGTGCACACACATGCATTCTACAATGTTATTGATTTCCCCCTAAATATGGACACCACTTCAGAAGAGCCACAGCCGGCCACACCTGAGCTGAGAGGGATCCTATCACACCCCAAATAAGGGCAGACACTAACTCTTCATTGCTAACCATAAAACCATCAGATTACACACAAGTAAGTCAGCAAAATACAATTATATCTGCACAGAGAAAAAGCATATACTAAAATGTTAATAAGTCACCCCGGTTGTTAAGTTCATGAAATTTTTTATGTCTTCACTGTAATTTTATGTATTGCAAATATTATCTATAAGCAAATATCAGTCTTCTGATCAGAAAAAAAATAAAGTTCTTTTCAGGGAAAAGCAGTATGCAGTTAGGTAACATGCATGGATAGGGAAAAGTCTAGAAAATGCCCCAACATGTTAGTGAGGAATGGATTCAATGGAACTGCTTTCACCTGAGGGCACCTGTCTGTGTAGGCAACGGATGGACTTCCCAGGTGTTTTAACTTGATATTTATTGCAGGAGAGAATCTGAATTAAATGATATTCAATTCTCACCATTCTTGGTTTTTAATGCAGAAATCTCCTCACTTTATTGACCTCACCTTTGAGGCTTCTCTGAGGACTATTAATTTTGACTGAAGGTATGTAACAGAATATGCCAGTGTTGTGGTTTATATCCAGATACCCCCCAAGGGCACTCACAGGCGGGGCTTCCGGAAGGTGATCAGATTATGGGGGCTTTAGCTGATCGCTGCTGGGGGGGTCTGGCTGGAAAGGGCAGGTCACCAGGGCCTGTATCTCTCTGCTTTCCGGATGCCACGAGGTGAGCAGCTCTCCTCTGCCCAGGCCCTTCCACCACGCCTTCCCGCCTTGGAGCCAGCCAACCATGGACTAAAAACGTGAGCCAAAATAAGCCTCTCCTCTTTCAATACCTGCAAGTGTCAGGTACTTTGTCCCGGTGATGGGGACAGTGACTACAACAGCCAGCAATGCAAATGTGGCCCAAGATTCCCACAGTTCACACAGAAATATAAGCATCTCCTTTAGCCAAAGTTCACCGATCAACCAAGAAAAAAATGATAAGGCCACTGAGTCCTAAAACTGCACACATTAATAATCACTTCTTGCCTCTCATTGTCAAGAAATCCAAATTCACCGTTTCTGGCTTCCTTTTCCACGCATGTGCTTCTGAAGATGACAGGGGTTAATGAAGCAGGACATTAACAGCATGAATCGCAATGATAACCAATCAACTTTCACAAGCAATGAAGGGCTTAATGTTTGGTTTCCTGGGTGGTCATCAAGCATCACAGCCCTCCAACAGCTGAGGCCCCATTCTTTGGACACACTGTAAGACTCCCCCCTCCACAACCAGCCCAGAACACTGTCAGAGGCACCACGGTGCCCACAAAAAGCAGGGAAGGAGTGTGGTCTTACAGGTGGTTTAATGGAAAGGCTTCCTTGCCGAATATATTCGATCGCAGCCTCAACTGAGGTCAGGCAGTATCCCAATTCATCTTTCGCTGAGCTGCTAAATCTGAAGTTTTTGATGTAACTCAAATTTGCCATCCTACCACAAAGAAGAAGAGTTTTATCATTGAGTACTTAGTTAACATTTCTCCAAAAATAATGCTATTGGTTTGGGTGACTGATCAAACACCCACAGTAAGTCAGGTAAGGGAGCTACAACCACTGTCCCTCCCTTGATCTCTCTGCGGAGTGTGTGCCATTAGGACAAGTAAAACTACCTGTTGCTTCCCTGAATAGGCTAGCTTTCAGACAGCTGATTATTGAAATGTGAACTATGGGTTCCTAGGGGAAGAAAGGACTGGAGTCAGCTTCCTGTTCAGCCACAGCCTCGCTGCATGGTCCAGAACAAGAAACATAAGCTCCCTGAGGCTCATTTTCCCCACCTGTAAATAGGAGGAGCCCCTGGAGGAAAGAGGAGAGGACAAGCACCCTGTCCATAAGATGCACAGTTAGAAGTGGCTATCCCTGGGTTGCACTGAAACTATACAGTACATGGTGCTGCCACTTTTAAAAAGCATTTTAACAAAAAACGTTACCAATTAGGGATCTCTGTTTTCACCAGCAAATATAACAGGACTGAGAGAAGATCATCAGTACACATGGTCTCCAAGTTCACTGCAAGAGAAAAATGCACGTTCAAAGCCATCATGAGACTCCAAGGGAAGGATAAGTATACAAATTCCCTTTTGCCATCCAACCCACAAAACCACACTCCAGCAAGATTACAGGTCACTAAGAAACAAAATTGCACAAGTGCCCTTACAATCTCCTGAACAGATGTCAGACTCAAGGGGATAAAAGAACATACAGCATTTTCAGAACATGTGCAGCAAAAGGCAGCATCTCCATGCGGACCAGGTCTTACCATCCTCTCAATGGGTAAAGATCCCAGGGAGGCAGTGAAAGTAGACACAAAGGAAGACTTGCCCCAACCCATCAACAAAGCCCCTCTCTTCCTGAGGTCACTTTTGGTTTTTCCACGCATAGTCTTATGTCCTTGTGTACCTTCACTTTTTTTCATTTTGCATTTTTAAGTAATCCATTCACGACTGAAAATTCGAACAGTACAGAGTCAGGAGTGTGACTCAGTGGTAGACCACTTGCCTAGCATGAATAAGGCCCTGAGTGTGAGCCCCAGCACTGCAATAAATAAGCAAACAAATTCAAACAGTACCAGAGAGCAAGGAATGAACGCCCCTCCTACCCTTGCCACTCAGCCTCCTTTCCCAGTCTCTGCTGCCACTTCCTGAGTATCTTTTCAGAGGCAGCCTATGGACTTGCCTTCGTATATACAGACACAGAGCTGCCCACACTTTCCTGGATGCTCCTGTGGGTGCACCATATCCACTCCATTTGCTCCACTCAGTATGCTTAGAGACCATCCCCTATTCATATGTGTAGACCTGCCTCTTCTTTTTAATTTTTTCTTAGCTTCTTTTGTTTTACTTTTCTTTTTTAAATTTTTTACTTTTGCAGTGTTGGGGGTCAAACCCAGGGCCTTGCACATGGTAGGCAAAAAAACCTCCCACTTTACTTTTTATATTGGGAAATTTCAAACATATACCAATGCAAAATTAGAAGGAACAGCCTAACAAACAGTGACTCCTCCCTGTACCCTTCACCAGCTTGGCTCATTTTTGAGGCCACCACTTCTGTCACTGTTTTCTCACCCTTATCATGCCTGACCCAGCTGTCCCCAAAGTGCTCCCACTGGAATGCACTGCGGAACCTCAGCCCCAGCTGAAGGACCCTTACAACAGGGGCACTTCTGAGCAGGTGCCCTCATCTGGATGTGTGCATCTAGCCCTTGCCAGGCCCTTCCCCAAAGCACCAACCTCTCTGGCTGGGAGACTGTGTAATGAGCTGTACCACTTTTCGCAAGCAGAGCAGCTTCTGCTGGGGCGAGGAGCATTTGTTCAGCTGAGCCAGCTCTCTCTTTGCACGAGGGATGTTGAAGCTGTAAAATAAGTGGGAAACATGACAACTGCAAATCATGGTGGGAGCACCCTTCTTCCTCGTTCTAATAACATACCTCAGGTTATACTTTTCTTACATCAAACTGCAAGCAATGAAAACAAAAACAGAGAAGTAATTGGACTCAAGCCAGTGGCAAAACAGAATGGATTTACATCCTATTCAGCCTGCCAGGTGATACAGCTGCATTAGAAATCTGGAACTAAATAAAAATCCTGAGCCCCAAAGGAAAGAGGAAAACAGCCCTAGAGGGGGGGGGGCTAAACATCAACCCTGTAGACATTTTTGCAGCCCTAGGTGCTTCTACGGCAGGGTTCTCTGAGACAGGCAGGTGGGGAGAGACTTCGAGCCTGCAGACCCTACCTGAAGACCAGGTGTACAAAACAAGGTCCCCTTTAGCTCCCAACCAGCCAGCTGCCTTGCTGGCTGCAGAAGGGGACAGCTTCAAAACAGAGTCTAGTCAATTTCAGCCTTTTATCTTTGGTCGAAAGTAACTGTGAAGCTCCTCGCAGGAGACTAGGACTTACTGCAGAGGCTCTAGTAACGTCCCCTTTCCCTGTTCCCTGCAGCTCCTCAGTAGTAACCATGTCAAGCTGGTGGCCACCACTGCCACTGGGAGAGAGGCCAGCTCTCAGGAGAAGATGGCGCCTCTGAGGAGATGTCTCAGAGAACACTGAGCTGCTGTGGCAGCACAAACTCTTACCTGAACTCAGGTTTCACCCCAATATCTTTCTGCTGGAGATCTTGAAGGCTTCTTGTGATTTTGTTAAAGGCAGCATCCTAACAACAGATTTTAATGAGGCTTCAAATTTCTTAAAGAGCACAGAGTAAGGCTTCCACCCTGGATGATGGTGGTGACTGTGAACCTACCTCGCTTGCCTCCATGGTCCCCATGTATTTGAAGATGAGATCATAAATATGGTGATGGACGTACATCTGTGAAATAAAGGGACCTCAGTTCAGGCCGTGTGTCCAGCAATGAGGAGAACCACAGGCTGCAGCCACCCTCCCTCTCCTTACCTCCACTGCCTGCTTCATCAGGGTCATCTGGGCCTCCTGCTTCGCAAGCACTTTCTAGAGGGTAAGAGGAGCATGGTTAAAGAGCCGGGACTCACAGGTGAGCAAACTGCAATTCCTTCTTTTGAAAGTCCCGCTGCTTACCAGGTGAGAGTCCCTCAGAAGCTGGTGGAGGCATCTGGTGTACAGGGCATTCACTGAGTCCTGTGCAGCCCAGAGCAGACAGAGGTCACTCTCACAATCCGAGGCCAGAAACACAAAAACCCAAGTGCGCAACCCATCCCAGAGCAAGAAAAACACACCTCAAAATGGGTTTCCTGGACAACAAGCTTGAAGGAGTAATGCAAGCTTTACCAACTCATTTTCATGATTGATTCTTCAACTTTTTTAAAAAGGTGATTGTGCATTAAAAGTAGGAAGAAATTCCCCTTGGGGTTAACATAGGTGATAATGGTGCTTATTGTTTAGACATCTCCAGGATTTTCAAGTTTTCTATTGTGGCTTATATTACTTTTACAGTCAGAGAGAAACATTTAAACAAAACTTCCTACAGTGGAGATAGCAGCTAGGAAAGTCGGAGAATAAACAGGGGGACTGAGGGCTCTGAGCTGGCATGGTGGGCACAGCCAGACCCGGTACTGACTATGTGGTGACGGAGGCTCTTCCTTTCACATTCTCGGAAGGTTCGGTTGAAGGAGGCGATGTTCCTGTCAAATTTCTCAGAGTGTCTTCCCAAAAATTCTCTCACATCTTCAATGGTTTTCAGGGTAAAAGGATCTGAGGGGGCTGAAGACTCTTCTGAAAAAGAGACAGAGGGTCAGGCTGGCTGAAGCCTTCACTGTCTCCTGAGGGGAAATGTTGCATCCCCTGTCCTGCTTCCACAGGACTGAGGGCCCCTGTTGTGGGGGAGGATGGTAAGGCGTGATGAGGGCAGGCAAGGTCCTTTATCTCAAGACACTTCCCAAGAACGCCTTAGTTATAGGACAGCCTGGGATCCAGAGAGCATGCTCTTCTCAAGGCCTTTCCTTGGGACAAAATTCATAATATCTGGAGTTTCGTGAGGTGAGTTGTGGGGCTAAAGTGAAAACGCTGTTTCCTGACAATAAGAGCTTCAGAGCTGATTTGACATACTGTTATTTCAATTTCCTGGGGCAACGGAAGAATTATTCTTCTTTCCAAATAATGAGATCTCAAAGAGGCACCACGGCCAGGCTGGGAGAGGAATGAAGCTAAGCCCCACAGATAAAGCCAGGGCTGCTCCTCTGCACACCTTAGGAGTGAGTCACATCACATGTTTGTCACAGGTACGGCAGGGTCTGTGTGAATGGTGCCTCCTGGAGTTGTATAACACCCAACCTGCATGACCACACACCCCAGTCCACACCCCCTGAGCTGGAGGTAAGTTGGATTAAGTTCTGGGGAATTCTAATAAATAGTTACATAGGTTTCTAGTGGGCTCTTCACTATTTTCTGTGACCTTTCACTTTTTAACAGAAGGAAGAAGCTAGACCAGGAAGAAGCTCAACACACATACATTTCTCCAAATCAGGAGAAAAGGGTTTCCACCCATAATACCTGAACTCTCTCTCTTTTCCAAAGGATGAGCTATACACAGGATGCTGAAACTTTCTTCTTTTTCATTGTAGAAAGTTTCTTCAAAAAGGATGGGTACTGAGAGAAGATGGGCAAAACCGGCTCCTAATTTAATCCTGTTTCCTTGTATAGACACATCCTGGAATGAGAAAGCCATCACTGTACCAGCAGCTAGTGGCAGCCACTCTCCCCCAAGGACAGTACTTAACCAGACCCTGCCGCTTCACCCAGCATGGGTTTGCTAGGGCACTTAAACAGGTGAGCTAGCTATGGTGAGCAGCTCCTCTGCAGGAACACAGTATCATGCCTAGTGAGCCACAGAGCTGCTGACCCTGAGCGGGCCTCCTGGTAACTCCATCCCTGCTCTCCCCACCATGGGGCCCACAAGCTTGGGCGGCTGAGTCTAGGGCTGCACTGCAGCCCAGCCCCAGAGAGAAGGGCAGTGTAGCCTGGCTTTCCTGACCTTGTGTAGGTTGGGCAATGAAGCCAATCCTGACTGTGAGTGGAACTTCCCCCTCTCAAAACCTACCTGCTTCCATGAAAGAAATTTTTAAAAACCCGAAACATATGCTCCAAATTACCATTAACAGTGAGACAAACTGGTATCACGTGCCTCCTGACAGGACACACTCAGAAAGATAAAACACCCTTGCCACGTCATTCCTACCAAGAACGCCTGACCGTAATCTAATCATGAGGAAACATCAGACAAACCCACACTGAGGGAGAGTCCACAAAACCAAACAAAAATCTCAATGTCATGACAGACAGATGCTGAGGAACTGTTTCAAATGAAAGTAAAAAGACTTCAAACAGCCAAGTGCATTATTTGATCATGGGTCTTAGAGAAGAAATTTCTTTCTTTTTTGATATAAAGGATGTTGTAATTAGTACCGTGTGCCTAAGGACAGCGAGTTGGGAACATTCACTGAACAAGCAGGCCTCTGAGCATGGCTGTGGCACAGCAGATAAGAGAACGCTGTTCTTAGGGTCGGCACATGTCTGCAGCTTACTCTCACAAGATTCAGAAAAATTAGCAACAGGTATACAGAGTCACAGATAAGTCAAGTGTGGCAAAATGCAAACAGTCAGCCAGCCTGGAGAAAAGGGTGCATTAGAGTTCTCTGTACTTTACGCAACCTTCTGTGGGTTCAAAATTATTTCAAAACAAAACGGTTTAAAAAGAAAATTCATCCCTGATGTCTAATTTTTGGCTGAGAAACCAAGGGGCTTTCAGGAGCACTGAGAAGAAAGAGCTCACTCAGACACACACTTCACTGAGGAAAGATGCTGAGGAGAGCCCAGCCCTCCCCACCCTCCAAGGTGACCCCGGCCCCAGGCATCATTCCCCTCCTTTCTCCAGCCCTCCCTGGGCTGCTGAGTGTGTGTCAACACTGTCATTTAACTCAGTAGAGGCGAAAGGCCAAGAAACAGAGCTCTCTCCCCTCATCCCACCTCCCACCACTGACCTAGCGACCCAAGAAATACCTTTCCATTTAAGGTCTGAAAATGTCCTTCCACAGGTATCAAAATGTAGGACTCGAACTGACAGGTGGACTGAACACTACTGGACAGGCTTCCTCTGCAGGGCACTAAGACCTGGAAAAAAACAATGAGGGGGAGCTCTGGAGAGAGGTGGAGCATATGGCTCCAGCAGCAAGCACGTCTTCAAGCCACTCGACCGGACCCACAGCAGGACCTGCAAGCAGACTCTGGCATCGCTGGCCCAAATGGCCACTGTTGCTCTAGCTGGGTCCCTCTGCTGTGGTAGTGACGGAAGCAGACACCCCTCTCCCAGAGGTGGGAGGATGGAGAGGCACAGGTCAGTCTCCATCTTCAGATTCAGACATTGGGCTCCTTCCAACCCTTGCTGCATCCCTCCCACAACTGACCCCAGAGACTCTCCGCTCCCACCAGTCCAGCTCTAAAATGCAGCAGGCTCAGGCAGAGAGAGGGGGTATGGAGAGGACAGAAAGGGAAATGAGAGAAGTCACACCGATCCCACCACCTGAAAGATAAATGCTTCATGCTGAAGACGGCTGCCATGACAGTTTGTAAGGATGCGTCAAAGGCCACGGAGAGTTTCTTATCACAGGCTGCCTCCTGAGCCTGGTGTCTCAGGGTGCCAGCCTTTCCCTCAGAGGCAGGATCAATCGGAAACATGCAAAAGAGACCACAGCCACCACACTGACAAGATGTCACCTTAGCAGCACGGTGCAGCAATGGGAAGGGGCTCTCTCCCCAGGCCAGACCTGGGCTTAGCTCAGAAACTTATGTTTAAACAGAAATCTCTGACTCAAGTGTTCCAAAAAGGAAGATGGCCAAGGCAGAGAAGCCCCACAGAGCCTGACTCTCACAGCAGCCCAGCACAGAGACCAACAGGCAGACAGCCTGGGTGCCACTCCTGGTTCTATGCCCCCCAGCTGGGGCCCGAGCACATGAGCAGTCCTTGTTCCTCGGTATCTGCATGTGGACAGCAGGGTTGGTGGGAGTGTGCTAGGAGTGTGAAGCAAGGCCTTGGGGCATGCGCAGCCCACCGGCTGACCTATAACCTGACCCTCAGTCGGGCACTGCCCTTGTTATGACCCAGGCTCTTAAAGCAGTGCACACATCCTGAGGGTTTGACTGGTGGTCTTTGAAGAACTGGGGGACTGCAGGAGAAGAGGAATAAACGCTGCCAGTTAAGTCTTGGCTGAGTTCACTCCAACATTAGATGGCACGAGTTAAGGAAGCTCAGGCAGAGAAATAAACCACCCTTGGATCACTTCCAAAACTAAGACTTACTGATCCAAATATTCAAAATCATTAACTTTCAAGAGATGTCACAGAAAATGGTGGAGTAAAAAACCCCAGAAGTCGAGCCCTCTACCAAAACAATTATTAAGCTTGGAAAAAAACTCAAAATCAATGATTTTGGAACTCTAAGTTCTGACTTTATACTTGGGGCAGGCCAATGAGTGCCAGGTGAAGCAAGGTTGCTGATAATCACATGCTCCTCAGCCCCTGCCCTGGCCTTGGGGACAGCACCCACATTCCAGGAGGGGCAGGCAGTTAAGAACCTTGCCCTTCAAAACATTCCTAAAAGTGGAAACAATACAATGCATGCAATATCCAAACACCTACACCCGAGCTTTATCAACTGTAAATGGTTTGCCACTGTCTTACTCTCTCTAAAGAAGAAAGGTTTGTTTAGCCATGTCATCTAAACAGGCTTGAGAAATTCTTGTGTAATTCTGGGCTGAGGCTCCCATTTCTGGAGCGTCACTATATGCTGGGCACCGTACTGAGCAGTCTAACACTATGACCTCAATAACTGCCTGAGTAGTTTCTGTGTCATCCTCATTTTACAGACAAGAAAACTGAGGCTCAAGAGTTAAGGCTTGTCCAGGGTCACACAGCCAGTGGTACAGCATCATTCAAATTCCAGCTGCCTCCTTGACCACTGCCCTATCTGCTGCCCCCTGGAGGCGACTGGAAGTAAAACCATCATATTCCATCGGAGCCTTCAAGAATGGTGTCCTCAGGTAGGGGACACTTTTTTTTGTTTTTGAGACATGGTCTTGCTAAGTTGCCCAGGCTCGGCTTGAACATGTGATCCTCTTGCCTGGCATCCTGAGTGCTGGGATTACAGCCGAGTGCCACCACACCTGGCTAGACAGGTGAAAGGACAGCAAAAAAAGAGGAAGTACTTGCTGATGGGGAAGACAACTCTGTGAAGTGCTCTTGCCCTCTCCTCAAAAAAATCAAAACTGAGTCAGATTGAGAACTGGATTTAACTACCAATGTCAGGAACATGAGGCCATGTCAAATACCATCCCAAGACTACAACTGGCAAAAGGTAGAATGCCAGGAATGCTACAGGATAAATGACCTGGTTTCTCCTACAAGTGAACTGCAAGAAAGGAAGGGCAGGGGATTTAGCTCAGAGGTTCTGGTGCTTGCTGAGGAAGCACAAGGTCCGGA